TCCTGCAAGAATCGGGCTTCCTCGGACCTATTTCTGCAAGAATAGGGCTTCCTGCGGCTGGAGCGAAGCAGAGAAGGGAGCGAAGCCTGCCCTTCTCCACTGCCTCGCTCCCTCCCATCTCCGTTGCCTCGGCTCTGCTCCTGTATCCGCTCCCTCAGGACACTCCATCGACGGCAGAGCGGCAAGGCTGGATCGGCCTCCAGAATAGGCGGATCATGCCTCGCCACTTGCCCCCATGGCCCCTGGCCGGGTCAACAGGCCCGGACACCACAGCAGTGGTGGAGGGGTGAGGCTGGATTGGCAAGGCTGAATCGGCCGCTGAAGTGGGCAGATCATGCCTCGTTGCTTCCCCCTGCGGTCCCCGGCCAGGTGACAGGCCTGGACACTCCAACAGCGATGGAGTGGCAAGGCTGGATCTGCCTAGATCCAGCCTCGCCACTCAGCTCCCCCCCCGCCACCTCCCCCGCCACCTGCCTGGCCAACAGGCCTGGACAGGGACTGGGTGCTGCCATCTTGTGGCTATGGGCACTGCCATCTTTATGACGGAGTGATGGAGTGATGGTTAATTTGCATATCACTCTTTTATTAGATAAGATTATGATTTCAACTTACCAACACAGTGGCTTAATAAATATGTTATGTGTATTGTGAAAATACCACAATTTGACAATGCAATTTGAAGAGCAGGTGCTTTGAAATACAACAAAAATAAATTTTCAATTTTGGTTAATTATTACCAAGTAATGAATGTCATTTTGAACTAAACTATTAATTTTGAAACTTAATTCTTCACTTATTTCCCTTTATTTTAACTGTCTTGTTTTGAAATACAATAACTTGGTAGAAATAGAATAACTTGAAAAGGTTCAAGTTTAAATTCTAGCCAAAGTAAGAATTATTTCACTTGGTAATGGAAAGAGCATTTTTTGTAATTGAAAATGGAAATTTTGATTGTATACAAAATTTCTTCATACTGCAAAGAAAAAATGGGTGGGTTGAATATTTCTACTCACTGAATATTTAGCCCTTATGTTATTCCCATAGGTGGGAAATAATAAATTGAATTGATTTGACTCTTTTTTTTTCCTGATTTTTTTTCACTTAAGATTCTTCATTTCAACCTAGCATGATTTACCTTTTCTCAGAAGCAAATGTCTAAACAATATATAATTTATTTTCTAATATGATTAACAACTTTGTTTTCAGTTCTATATAATTTGTACTAATAAATACACAGTAAAGGCTAATTTACTTTCCTGAATAAAGGAATGGGCATATAAAGTATTCCATTAAATCAATGACCTTAAAAACTAAATTTATGCTGAAACATAATAATGCCTCCTCACATTAGGGCAATGACAGAGGAAATACACTTTTTGTATGTATTGACTTTGTTTTACCAAAACAGCTCAAAAGAAGGAAATTTTTACTTTAAACTCCTAGGAAGAGAGCAATATGTTTTCTGGCTAGATATTGTAAAGAGTGTGTTTTAAATATTTCTCTAGTAGTGTAAAGTTTTCAGGGGAAACTTTTATTTAATCAAAACAAGCTTTAACGTATTTTAATTTATTTGAATTATAAGAAACAAAATTCTACTTAGCCGTTCTTTTACCACCTCACTGATGGACCACTTCATTGGCTTTTTTCCTTGGGAAAATAATACTATGCAGGATAATTCTCAGTAAAGTTACCTCTAAATTACATTTTTGGGAATAGGCACACTATTAAGTATATAGACAAGACTGAAGTTTATTATAACTCCAAGACACTCATTCTGCCATAAACTTTCCCTGTCATTATGCATGCAATCGTTTAAAATTTGTGCCTTAGTCTAGACAGGCAATTTATTGGCCACCAAAGAATGTAGCCCATCACGTCTCCATCACTATAAAAAGTCTTCTTGGGAACCAATAGGCACTTATCTGTTCTCTATATCAAGGGATGAAAGATTTCAATAATATATTTTGAAAGTTTAGATGTCAAATGCTATACATGCAATGCAGGCAGTGACATTTTTGAACAGATAATTCTGTCATGAAAGTCTAATTCACTGTAGCTACTAGTGGAAATGACATAACAAATCAGAAACACTGTTTATTTGCAATAATTGTATAATTAAACTAGAAGGCTACACTACAGCATGGCAACAGTCACAATGGAAATTAGAATGAACAAAAAGGCAAGAATAATATCTTGAACAATATTTTTTTAATAAGTGGATATTGACAACTGGGACATTAAACTATCATGGTTCCTTATTATATCTATCCATCGAAATAAATCAAAATGCACCTATCATTTAACATATTTCCTGACAATGATTTTCAAACAGCCTAACTTTGAAGCTTCTGCATATTATCACTAGAGTCTTGGGAAAGGGATAAAGTAATTTCAAAAATGACAACTTTCAATGTGTATACAGAGTTTCTATAAAATCAAAACATGGGTAGTTGAGTGGGTCAAAATCTCATTTATTTACATCAATAAAATATGCACCCAGGACTAACAGTCTCAGTTGAGTAATGTATTGTATTTTCCACTGTTTTTAGAAGGAATGAGTAATGACAGTAAAAAGGCTTATATTTATCAAAGAAAAACAAATTTAATGTACTGGAGTCCTTTACTTAGAAGGAGCCTATGATATGAGTTGACAGTTGTTTTGTTTAGACAAGTGTCACAGTTTTATTTCATTGACCACATTTTCTAAAGTCAAATAGGCAATCATTCTATCAACATCCAACTTGAATATCCAACATCAACAGGAAAACAATGACTTCAAATTAAAGAACCAAGTTATTCAAAATAAAATAATTAGATTTTCTTTCAATAATGGCAACAATATACATAATTTGACCCATATGGGGCTAGATCATCAATAGCTTGTTGAGGTGAAATCTCAGTCCAGATTCTCATTCCATAATTTTTAGAAGAATAAAATATTTTTAAATGAATGAAATGTGTTGTTAACTAATGAAAGCTAAATATGTTATTTTGATGTTTAATTATAATGTAAATAACACTCTACTGAATATCTGTTAATTTTAAACAAGTGGATGTCACTTCCTCAGAAAGAACAGAAATAAAAATCAGAGATTTTCTGTCTCTAGTAAGGGTGATACCAATCATCCTTAAATTGTTCTGTCTAACACCTAGTAAGCATCAAAAGTGAATAGATTAGAGATGGAAAAGGAACAATTGCATTCAGGATAGAATGGCCTTAGAAGTTCCAAGTAAAACTAATTATTATTTTATTGAATTTCTATAATTCCTTTGCAAGTAGGATTCATATACCTGAAAACAGACTTGAGAAAAATACACCAAAAATATGAATTTTAGAAAATACTGTCTTTGGTGATTAAAGTAAGTATTCATTTAAAGCTATAAATGCATATTATATTTTAATAAGTGATTTCTAAGATGTTACTTTCTACAGTAAATTATCATTTATACTAGGAATGCTTTGTGGCTTCAAGCAAATTCAGAATATTAGAAGCTAACATCTCTTCTATAGAACTTATGTTCATTAACAAAGGTTTAAATAGATGACAACCATCCTCTTGCATATCTGAAGGCATAAAATTTATCCACAGAACTGAGGCAACTGTTCAGATAATTTCTGCTGAAAAATAACTTACCTGAATTAGCTAATATATAGAACCAAATGTTTCATTTAGTTACTGTATATTATTCACTCTCATTATTTATTTCACTTTTATGCATAATAAAATTTTCACAATCAAAGATTAACCAAGTTACATGCTGTACCCTATTACTCTGGCTAGCTCTACCACAAAATATAACCATTAGGTCAAAAATAAAACAAACTCTGTAGGAAGTTTTTGAAGCTTGAACAAATAATTGATACTAAGGAAAGGGAGATGACTAAATTCAAGTGTCCTCTGACTATATTCAAAAATAATTTTGTTTACTCTGTTGTGGAAAGTATAACACAAACCATAGAATATTGACTAAATCTATAGTTAATATAAAATCTGTTACACAAACCCATGACAGACGGTTTGATGTAAATTAAAGCCATCATTTTCCCATTTAGTTTGTAGAAAATGCATATATTTGAAGGTACATTAGTTCCAAACTGTTTATTTCATACATTAGGAAAAATCAACTGATTTTGTAGTACATACATGCATTGCCTGCTAGATATAGTAAAATTCAAGTATAAAGAAAAGCCTGTGTGATGTAAGAATATTGCACACATTCTATCTCTTCGTAATGCATAGTGAGCGTTGTGTTTTTTATACAGGAGCAGTTTATAATAGCAACTCACAAGAACTAACAGGAAAAAGGTGAGGTGTGTGTATCTGACTATTCCAGTAAATTATGAAGAGACAAAGTGAAAATCATTTGGTGTCTTTCGTCCTTGGCTGCTTATCTGAAAACTTGGTTAGAAAATAGTGATTTCTAAGTGTTTTAAATATGATATGATCTTGTGACCCATGTTATTTAACTGTTTGTGATTATGCACTTTGTGCTCAGGTAGAAACTTTGGGCTGTTTTGAGGACCCAGTTGAGAGTGCAATAAGGAATAATTGGCAAGCTTGAGGACATTGCTGGCTGGCACACATGCTAAAAGGGAATTTTAACTCCAGAAACCAGAAATTTGCCTTTCTCTAAAAGAAGCTTGATGATTATACATTTAAAATTGAGTGATAGAGGGAAAAATGAAAGAAAGAATAGTAGAAAGGGTCATATATGTAAAGACAATAGCTTCTCTACAGGACCAGATTGACAATAAACTACAGACCTACTCAAAGTCATGGGGAAAAGCCTAACAACATGTTCATATAGGTGTGTATTTTTGTAAAATTTACAAAATTAAAATATTTTAATTATGATTTGTAAAAAATATTATCTCTGCCATGATTTCCCTTCTATTACAACGTGCCTAATTTTAGTTGACTGTTAAGAAGCTACTGTGAATTTTAAGTTTCAGCTGAGAGAAATTTGTTTGGAAATTCTTTCAATTTGGATTTGGTAACATGGGTTTATTTTTTGCTTTATTATCACTTCAAGTGGTGATTTTTGTGGGCCAACCCATGGTAAAGAAAAAGCTCTCAGGAAACAGAGCCTACTGCCCTCTGCTGGTTTGTCCATCTCAGCATTCAAATACAGGGCCAGAGGCCTTCATGTCATTAACAGGTAGGTACCAGAGCCTGTAAACCAAAGCTTCACATCAGTCCTGAAATGAGAGAGTAGTACCCATAAAGCCATGAAATAGGTGAGAACCATTCTTCCAATCACTACAAATGTGAAATCGTGAGTAGAATATTCAATTTTAATTGTCATTTACTCAAAATAGAAATTCAAATCCCCGTGCTTGGAATACAGGGAAATGTACGTGTGTGTGCATGCATAGTATAGCATAGCCACAGTCTACAGAAGGTTTGATATTATCCACGGTTTCATGCATCCACTGGATGTCTTGGAATGTATCCCACATGAATAAATTGATAGAATAAGAGTAATTTTATTACAAAATATTGTAATTGTACATAGCATCAATTTAAAACATGTTTAACTTGCTCTTGCATATGCCTTAATTTTAGTATAATTTTGAATATGTTTTAGAAATATTAATCAAATCAGTAATTAAAAATATAGCCCTAACCGGTTTGGCTCAGTGGATATAGCAACAGCCTGCAGACTCAAGGATCCCGGGTTTGATTCTGGTCAAGGGAATGTTACCTTGGTTGCGGGCACATCCCCAGTGGGGAGTGTGCAGGAGGCAGCTGATCGATGTTTCTCTCTCATCGATGTTTCTAACTCTCGATCCCTCTCCCTTCCTCTGGGTAAAAAAACAATTAATATATATATATAAATTGTGTCAGGCAACTAATTAATCAAGGTATTTTGCTTATTTTACTTTCTAGATTTTGTTTTGCTTGTGATATTTGCCAGATTTTTCTTAACTTAGTTTCTTATCTAATTTTGATTTATAATTTTTATAACTTTCTATAATAAATCTGGAAAAACATAAAAACATAAAGCTATAAAAGTTTTAGCTGTCATAAATTTGAAACTGTTCCTGTTTTTTATATATGTCAATATTGATAGAGTAGCTTTAAAGATAGAACCGCCCCCCCCCCCCCCCCCCCAGGAATCATTGTCTTTTAATGGTCAGCCTTGTCTAACATAGGATAATTCTTTGTATCTTATATATAATTCTAGAGGCCTGGTGCACAAAAATTTGTGCACTCGGGGGGTAGGGAGGGTCCCTCAGCCTGGCCTGCGCCATCTCGCAGTCTGGGACCCCTCGGGAGATAACGACCTGCTGGCTTAGGCCTGCTCCCAGGTGACAGGGGGCAGGCCCAATCCCTAGGTGCAGCCCCTGGTTGGGCTCAGAGCAGGGCTGATTCGGGAGTTGGGGCACCGCCCCCTGCCATGCACAGAGCAGGGCGGATCGGGAGGTTGCGATGCCACCCTCAGTCACGCTCAGGGTAGGGCCGATAGGGGGGTTGGGGCACCGCCCCCTGTCACACTCAAGACAGGGTCTATGGGGAGGTTGTGGTGCCACCCCCTGTCACGCACAGAGAAGGGTGGATCAGGAGGTTGGGGTGCTGCCCCCTGTCACACACAGAGCAGGGCCCATCAAGGGCGTTGGGGCTCTGTACCCTGTCATGCACAGAGCAGGGCCCATCAGGGGGTTTGGGAGCTCCCCCCTGTAACGCACAGAGCAGGGACTATCAGGGGATTGAGGAGCCCCGCCCCCCGTCACTCACAGAGTAGGGCCAATAGGGGAGTTGGGACACCGTCCCCTGTCACACACTGAGCAGGACGGATCAGGGGATTGGGGCATCGCCCTCTATCACCCACAGAGCAGGGCCGATCAGGGGGTTGGGGCGCTGCCACTGTCACACTCAGGGCAGGGCCGATGGGGAGGTTATGGCTCTACCTCGATGCACACAGAGCAGGGCCCGTGGGGGTGGGGGGGTTGGGGCACCGCACCCTGTCACACACAGAGCTGCAGGGCGATCAGGAGCATGGGGAGCTTCCCCCTATCAGGCACAGAACAGGGCTGATCAGGGGGTTGGGGCGCCTTCCCCTGTCACGAACAGAGCAGGGCAGATAGGGAGGTTGTGGCCCCACCCCCTGTCACACACAGAGCCACAGGGCGATCAGGGGGTTTGGGCGCTGCACCCTGTCACACTGATCCCGGTGTCGGGAGGCCTCTTGACTCCACTGATCCAGGTGCTGGGAGGCATATTACCCTTTTACTATATAGGATAGAGGCCCGGTGCATGGGTGGGGGCTGGCTGGTTTGCCCTGAAGGGTGCCCTGGATCAGGGTGGGGGTCCCCACTGGGGTGCCTGGCCAAGCTGGGTGAGGGGATGATGGCTGTTTGCAGCTGGTCACACACCCTTCAGGGTGGGGGTCCCCACTGGGGTACCTGGCCAGCCTGGATGAGGTGATGATGGCTGTTTGCTGCTGGTCACACACCCTTCAGGGTGGGGGTCCCAATGGGATGCCTGGCCGGTCTGGGTGAGGGGCTTAGGGCTGTTTTTAGGCTGGCGGGTGACTGAAGCTCCCAACTGCTCCTTTTTTTCTTTTTTTTCTTTTTTATTCTGGGCCAACTTTAGCTTGGCGCCAGCTCTGAGGCTTCTGCTGCTGAAAGAAGGTATCTGATTTGTTTGGGTTCTATAATCGAAACACTGTATCAACTCCAGCTCTGAGATCCCGGCTGGCTGAAAGCAGGTTTCTGGGGTTTTGTTTAGCTTCTATATTTGTAACAATGTTTCAAACTGCAAGCTCAGAGGCCGGCAGCGGCAGGCGGGGAACGTTGGAGTCCTCCGTCACTGAAGCAAGCAAGCCTCATGTTAGTTTCAAGCTGCCTGGCTGCTGGCCACCATCTTGGCTGGCAGTTAATTTTCATATTGCCCTCATTAGCCAATGGGAAGGGTAGCTGACGTACGGCTAATTACCATGTTTCTCCTTCATTAGATAGGATTGTTTCCATTTTAAATTCACCACCATCACTATAAGGTTCAGTTGGGCCGGTGCAAGTATTCTTTTTAGTGTCCCCTCCCCCCTGAGTCTCAGTGGAAGAGAATTTACCCTGGCTTAAATCTTAAATGCTTAATTATTTAGAGTACCTACAAAATCTATTGGCCTTTATGACTAATCAAGCACGTAGTGTGTCTTGTTTCTTTTACATTAATCAAAAAAGCACATGGGAAATCTTCACCAATCAAAACTTTTCATTGGCAATAGTTAAATGCTAAAATTTTAATTAGAACCACCTCTTCTCTGTGGATAAAGATTGTCATTTCCAAGCCACTTCAAGATGAAGCTTTTGAGGATCCTTCTGCTATTTATGTGTAAAGGCTATAAAGCATTATTTTGTTTTCTTGTCAAATTAATTTTGTTAACATTCATCAACATGACTATTTATATTAAATGGCTCTGTTAATTAGACTACTTTCAGGTAAAGCAGAAGTTCATTAGCAAAGGTACTTTTTGGCATACATAACTAGAAATCTAGAAGTGACCTCCTGTCACCATGTAGTTGTATTTCAGGTGTTCATTTCTCATTACTCTCTTGTATATGCCCTCAAAGTGTCCTGTGACTTTTTTTTTAAATATGTGGTTTGTAATTATATAGCCTTTAGTGGGATTATTTATAAATATGGATTTATTCCATTAGTTTCTAAACTTCATTAGGACAGTGACAATTTATATTTTAGTACCTGCTTTATCCCCAGAAATTAGCACAGGACTTGCTAACTATTTGAAGGAGAAATTAATATGGAACTTTGAAATTATTTTTCTTTTTATTAAAATAATAATTTTACTAATAGAACTGTAAATAAAATTTGACTGTATCTTATATTCAAGTAGAGGCCCAGTGCACAAAATTTGTGCACTAGTAGGGCCCCTAGCAGCTGCCTAATGCTGGTTGGGTACTCCCTCCCTTCACAGGCTAGCCACCCCTGGTCGAACTCCCAGACAAACTCCCAGTCAAGGGGACAATTTGCATACAATGCTTCTATTATATAGAATTTTTAAAAATACATTTTAATGATTTTAGAGAGGAAGGGAGAGGGAGAAAGAGATAGGAACATCAGTGATGAGTGAGAATCCTTGATCGACTGCCTCCTGCATGCCCCACATTGGGTATCGAGCCTGAAACTTGGGCATGTGCCCTGACTGGGAATTGAACCTTGACCTGAGCATAGGTTGACATTCAACACCTGATCCACACCAGCCAGGCTTATATTCTTTCTTAAGATTGTTTCATGCAAATGAAAATATTTTAGCAAGCACAAGCAATTGCAGAGTCTTTTTAAGACTTTATCATTTTTTCATTTTTCCAACATAGAGTATAAAATCACTTCTACTATTAGTTCCCAATCATTTACATTTGTCTATTTTAATATTTGTAAATGTAGTAAGAAATTAGGATTTTTTGGTATTTTTCTCTTTTTTTCAATTATTTAATGTTTAGTGTGTGTGTGTGTGTGTGTGTGTGTGTGTGTGTCAACTTTTAAAATGTATTGGAAATATTATTTCTACAAATTGTATTTTAGAACAATTTCTAGTTATATTAGGCTATTCAGGTTCCTTTATCTGATAATAAGAACTATTTAATTATGAAGATAAGTGCTAGATGTGAGAATCTTATTGATTGTATTTGTGACATTTTGACATGGCAAATATTTTACATCATATTTAACCAAAGCTGAACTTTTTTTTCTCTATCAGCCTATTATAAGGAAGCCTTTTGCTCATTCTAAAATTGAGACAAATATAAACTTTTATTGGTATCTATTGGTTCTTAATTTCAATTTTTTTACATATATTTCTTAAATCCATTGTTTATAACACCTCTACAAAAAACAATGCATGAAAGTATTTGCTCTATGGAATGATTATTAAAGATTTAATAGAAGTTCTTTTTGACCCTCACTTCTAAATCCTTTAGGTAGTCATTGAATTAGGGGAAGAATTTATCCAATTGTGTATGGTGAGTGAAAAGCAGCAGGAATATTTTATAGACATAAAGTGAGGTAACTCATAAACTGACAAGAGTATAAAGATGAGATGTCTGGCACCTTATCTAGTGAAAACACAATAGCAAATAAATTAGCAAAGCTAAAGACGTTTTATGTTCTTAGGGCCACAGCATAGAGAAAGGTCAGAAA